CTAAATTTTCTATTATAATCCCCGTTGTTTTATTTTTTGTCGCTCTTCTTTACTTTTTTTCTTCCCTCTTGCTCACGCTGCGTACAACGCCTATTCGTTTAAAATACATAAAGTGCAGAATGTGCATGTAACGCGCATGTAGCTTATGCCTCTCCCGGTGATATCGAGTAAGTAAAAAAAAAAAAGAAAAACTATACTTTGTCACAAAAGAGACGAACCTTCCGGAAAATAAATGTTTGAAGTTTTTTAAATGGATAACGGCGAACCATTTAACTTTTCACGGCTGAAGAGAAAAAAAAGGATGTTTAAGTATTATCCTTAGCTTTAAATATTATCCTTATTATCTTTAATTTATTTACATTCTAAAGACATTTTTAACGAGATACGTTGTTTTACGAATTCATATGAATTCGCACTTCATATTTTTACTACAAGATAGTCACGCGCTTCCTTGACTTGTCTCGAGCGAAACTCTCGTCGTTTCGGCCTTCGAGCAACGTGGCCTTTAAGCAACGTAATCTTCGAGTGTCTCAATGGAGGAGGCAGTCAGATTGATCTTTTTTAGTATTAAAACGGTATCCGGCCGCCTGCCGCCGACTCGAGCATATCGCAAATATCGCAAATCGCTCGCGCCATGGTACGCAAAAAGTCATCGACCGATCTCGCTGCCGGTCGGGCATCGCGACATGCAAACCGCTACGATCGATCGACTATAACGTGACTATAATGTCTATGGAGCCGTACGGTGACCTCGCGAGCGATCAGGAGTAAACGATGGATTCATAAATTTACGTAGAACACGTAGAAAAGACGAGCTCTCCGTGCGAAACGATCGCGTCTCGAGTGCGCACGTTCTCCAACTCGCCCCCTTCGTCGCGACCAAAACCCGCGATCGCAAAATCGCAAATTTCGCGTTGAAGCAAACTCTCTCACCTCGGCAATTCAAAATTAATCATGTATTCGCGAGACAAGCGATAAGAGCGACTGATAAGAGCGAAATTTCTGTACTTCGCAACTTCACTGCATGTAAACTCTTGTAGACATCGCTTGACATCATGAAACAATTATATCGTAATGTTAACATGTTGTAGAATGTTGAATCACGGCGATTACTCGACCGAGACTCATTTTAGAGCGATATGTTCGAGTGCAGTTCGAATATTGCTTTGACACAATATATTTTCTTTCACCAATTACTTAAAAAATTTGAAAACAAAAAAACCTGCATAGGATTTTTCAAATTTGTTTTCTAATTTATTTGTATATAGCTAAGATGATTCTCCAGAAAGTAGAAAAAGTAGATTAGCAGATCTTTTTCTACTTTTACAATTCAATCTTTTTAAGTTTAATGTATTTAAAATGCAGTAAGAAGTTTCCGTCCGTCTTAGCTCCACTTTCTCTTCTTTTTCAAATCGAAAATCTGATAAGTTGATTTGATTGAAAGCAAAAAAAAAAAAGAAGAGATAAGAAATAAAATAAGAAATAAAGTTGATCTGATTAGAGGAAAAAAAAAGGTGAGAAATAAGATATGAAATGGAGGACGCGATCGCGCTTTGATGATACGAAAGAACGCGCGGTGCTCTTTTGTGGTCGTACTTTTTTGCACCTTCAGTGTATATTCAGGGAAAAAAAAGAGGGGCGTGTGTCTTCCAGGCATTATGGAAAGGCCAGAGGGGAAACGGAGAGCAGCGAAATGTAGCATGTGTGTGCAAAAGCGTGGACTAAAATGGACAGACCCATAAACGTGGAAAGGAAACAAAAGGAACATAAATGATAAGTATGTTTCACGTAGCACATACTTTCCGCATTCTTCCGCCATCTCATTTTTCTTCCTTCCCTCAAGTCTGGGTCGCGCACTCCTGCTGCGCGGTGCAATATTTAAGGAATTGTCTCTCCTAATGCCACCCCACATGCATTTTCTTAAGAGATCGGCTGTTCCTTCACAAGCCTCATCTATAATGTACCGTACGTCCGCGCCTCCTTCGGAAGCTTTCGTAAATCGACATCGATAAAGGAGCGAAGTCTGTCTGAAAAATTTTCAATCCTGCCGGAAGGATAAGTAAAAAGAGATTTCTCTTCTTCAAAGAGAACTCTCTTTCTTCTCTAAACACGCCGTTGCTTTGTTAGAAGATTGGATTGCCGACTGATTGATTTCTTTACAATCGAACTCGATTTCTCATATGTCAATTTTACAATGTACAATTTTTACGAATTTCATTCTGAACGTGAGACATAGCGGTGAGGATAAAATATACTTTGAGAATTTTTCCATTATTTGTTTCGATTTAAGCTTTTTAAGCTGTTTCTGAAATAGAGACAAGAAATAGATTTTTATCGGATGTTAAACTTAAAGTTTCCGCGCAATTGATTTCAGTAATTGATTTCTGATCTTATTTCGCTATTTATTCATTTATTCATTTTGTCCAAAGTGCACGGAGAAGATAGTTTGGATGACTGTGCCAAAATTTTGTTTCAAAATGAATGAATCAGAAATTCCGATTGAAATTTCCAGATTTCTGTTTAAATTAACCAGAAATCTTGTTAATAAAGTGAATCCTAATAACTTCAATTGGAATATCTGATTTGTTCATTTTGAAATAGAATTTTCGTTGGAAAGAGAGCCAACCAAATTATTCTCTCCGTGTGAAGTTCACGAAAATTTTTCGAAAAAAATCGACAACAGACATGCTACGTGGCACGTTTTATTAATAATGAAGATACTTCGATCAAACTCCAATTAACTTATCAAGTAACGCCTGGTTATTTACTTTTCGTTGTTCGATACGTGGCAAGAAGATTAGAGATAGCAAGTATCTGGAAATTGTGCTGCAAACCTTACGTATTAATTATCGATTAAATTATAATTGAAAATTTGAAATCGAGGTCAGCCTGAGTCTCGACACGCGGGGGAGGGTTCCTCCCCTCGAAATTTATCCCCAAAACAGGAAAACACCTCGTGCTCGTTCCTCGACCCGATGGGTTTCCCACACCGGGTCGTGCGGCGCACGCTATCGCACGCTAAAAAGTCATCGACCCATCGCGTAATCGCCGGTGACCCGCTAGCGTAAACGTTCGTCCGCCGCCTTCGATCATATCGCCGCGTTCCGCGCTCGTCGCCGCCGCCGCCGCCACCGCCGCCGTCGTCGTCGTCGCGCAGCGCGCGACGTTCCTCCGACGACGTCGCCTCGCGTTGCATGCGCGAGGAAAATGGGTCCGTTCGATAACTCGGCGACGCGGCACACAGGAGAAACTGCCGGTACACAACACATCCGCGTGCGGTATATCCGCGCGGGCGAGACGCGGAGCTCTTCTCGCGCGGCGGAAAAAGGCAGTTTCGGTATTCGTTCTATCTATCCGCCTCTCCTCCGCGCCTTCTGATTCTCGATCTCAACCTCTCAATCTCTCTCTCTCTCTCTCTCTCTCTATTTCTCCGTTTTCCTCATAAATATGTTTACGTAGTTCCGTTTCCCTCCCCTCCCCGTTTTCCGTGTGACTTCACGAGCGCCCGGCTTTACGGGCTTCTCGGACCACGCT